CCAATTCTCTCTTTCAAAAAGTTTTTAAAAATATATTTTTTACCTTAAAATGTAAGACAAATAAACATCGCGGTACTAATATTGTAATAAGATTGTCATGTAAATCTTCTTCTTCTTCTTCATCCACATTCACAACCCGTCTAGTTCTGCGGTATGTAACCAAACCATTCACCACACCAACTTTCTCAATATTAGTTACATCTCATCATTTCATATGAAAATAAAAAAGGGAAAATCGTGTAAAAGGGACAGAAAATGAGAGCGGTCGTTACAATATAGATATAAGTAGCCCCCCTATAGATATAAAGCTCTGAGAATTTGTCTGAATTTCAAGTGCTGCTTCTTTAATTTATTATTGTGTTTAATAATCACAATCTATAATCTGAACGGATTTTAAGCAAGACTCTAACTTTTTTGCCAATTGATCAAAATTGGGGCTTTGACAGATGACGAATCTGTAAAAATTAGAAAAGTTAATAACAAAACAAAGATTTATTTAATGATTATTTACCTTAAGAGTGGAATAATGAAATTACATACCATAAACTCAAAAGACTTTCCTATAAGCACCACAACAAATAAGCACCAGTCTGATAGAAAAATGTAATTAAAAGCATTAGTGTAGTGTCTGATATAAAATCTAATCAAAAGCATCAGAAATGTTATAAAAAGACTTCATTAAAAGCATACCAAATTAGTTTCGACCTTTTTTTGTAGATAACAAATGCATTTCTTAAAAACTGTGATCCCATTGGAATTGGCGACATACACCAACAATCGGAATCCTTTTACTTACTCCTATTGAAAATCAAATATCAACCTTCGTCATGTTGTCACTCTCCAAGTTTAGTGAAATCCTTTTCTGAGTTCTGAAATAATGAATAGTAACTTAAACATAGAATTATAGGAAATCAAACGGAGCATGAAACCAGCTAGAGGAAGATAAGAACCTGTGAGGTATGAAGTAATCTGAAGTCGATCAGGTAAAACTAAAGGGGAAGAGGTGGGGTCTTTATTGGATGGGGATGGGGCCATGGGGTGTGGTATTTTTTTCCCTTAAATTGTATTCAAATAAAAATAAATGAAAAGGAAATTAGAAGGGTATATAAGAGACAATTGATAACTAAATAATCATGGAATGAAAAAAAAAATCCGAGAAAATAAAGAAATCAGCAACACAATAATTCATTAATTTACTTCCAGATATAAGAATTCAAGTCAACAATCATATAATTGTTTAACCATACTTTAGGTCTCAAACATTGCAAAACGTCCCCTGTGATTGTTTAACCATGCTTTGATCTCTTTAACCTTGTAAAAATACAAATTAGAGAACTCACTTAATCAACTTATATAATCAAATGATGAATATATAAACACAATCTATGAAAATTTAAACAATCAAAATCAACTGCGAATCTTACCATCTCCATGAGCTTGACAGGTTTAGATTATATCTGTATTCACACTGATTCTTCCATATTTCTTATTTGATTTGGAGTGTAGGTAACACATTCACAAATAATCACACATCAAATTCAACTTTTTTTTTAAAATATAAATAAAACATATTCATTGTTTTAATTTTAAATTTAATTGAAAAACTTACCTCTCCTGTGAGGAAGACAGGTCGATTTCCTTTATAAAAAAGCTTACGCATTGGACCATAGGAACGGAACTGCAAATGCAAGGATGGAAACATGGGAAACCAAAGTAAGTAGATGGTATCTCTACCAACTAAAAGAACACACACACATCAAAAACTGCATAAAATTACCACATAAAAAAGAAATTATGACTTGTAATATCAAACCTGTAACATTATGGCCACATCGGCACCTTCAACTTCCCATTCGAATGTAGGAACAAAGCAGTTGGTTATACAGAGGGTCCAATTGATCGGCGATACCTTGATAAGAACCGAGAATAAAATCGATTTCAGGTATTAGGAAATCGTTTTGATACTTGAGGTATTAGGAAATCGATTTGATACCTAAGAAAGAGAAGGAGAAGGTGGTTTCTTCCATGTTGGTGAGCTGAGGTGGGGCTAAAGCGGAGGTTTTCCTCTAGGTTTTCCTTGGGAAGTCGAAGCCGACGGTCGATATAGGTGAAACGCAGGAGGCGACGACTTCTAGCCGAAGGTGATGATAGAAAATCGACGACCGGGGAGAGAGAAGGGGTAGAAGGGTAATAATTGGAAGATGATATTACACAATTTAGGTGGGTTGTCGATCATGAATTCCATATTTCTGCCCTAATTTCATGGGTTCTGACTTGAATGTGTGGTGTCATCTTCGCCGTTATCTCCTCTCCCTTACCTTCTCCACAACCCTATTCACCTCCACCGAACATACGGAAGAAGGAGGTCATGCTTGTGTTGCTGTAATTCTTAGTGATAATACTTTGGATTTGTTGTTGTGATTCTTGGTGATAATACTTTGGATTCCTTTACCGGGTGACGACTCCAATCTATTTAACGAAAAACACAGAGCAGGATGTTGCTGCTGGTGGTACTTCGGCAAAGCACATAGCAACGGAGAAATGGTGCGTGCCATGCGACTAGGTCTCCATCAATCGCAGAGAACACATCAACACAACCTTCTTCCGGCCGGTAACCACCATCCACAGACCGAGAACATAAATGGAGAGCCAAAAAGGGAAAACCAACATAACCGTAGGCCTTGATGGGTCGCTATTTTTGAAGCTTAGATATGCAGCAGAGATGTGAAAAAGCATATGTATCTGAAGCGGTGAAAGAAGGAACATCAGGTAGATAGGGATTAAACAGACGACGGGTTGGAATTACATACTGTGTATAGGAGTGACGGTCCGACCATCGATATCCAACTTCCCCCATCTTTCTTCCGCCTGAGTTGAGTGAAACGGTGGTTTAGAGAAGTGTACAGAGTGGTGGAATCGATTCGTAGAATCTGAAAAGTGAACGGCATCTGTAGTCGACACCGCCATTGACGAAGATGTTGAGTAGCAGTGAGCGTTGGAGAAAACTATGGAAAGCAGTCGGTTAGCAATTCGTTGATTCTGATAAACCGGAATCGAGTTCTCCAAAAGACAGAGGCAAATAGAAAGAAATAGAGGGCGGTGGAAGTGTATGTGATTGGGCGAGGGAGGCGGTGAGTAAACGTGGATAAACTGTGACGGGGGTGGTTACTATGGTTGAGGAAGTGAACCCGAGTAACAGTACTATGGTTATGGTTAGGTACTGTTCCTAAGGATTGTCCAACTTTAATATGTATACTAGTAAAGAACCGCGGCTACGCCGCTTTCGGGTAATATGAAAAAAATCGGCCAACTATAAAAGATATGTGCTAAAATTGTAAATCACCATAAATAGGGGAGAAAGTCGACAACCCCTAAAATTAGATGTCAAGAGTGTACAACGAAAAGAAGACATTGGTAGAGAAAATCCAAAAATGTTGTGGCAATAATGTTAAAGTTGGGAAAATATGACGGCAAAATTTTAACGGAGCTTTTTTGTGTTTTTTATGTCAAAATGTAAAAGTTTTGACTACAAAGACGAAAAATGTCAAATTCATTAAAGATTTGTGGCAAAAACACCAAAATGTAAAACCTTTGACTGCAAGGACTAAAGTGTCAAAGTCATTAAAAATTTGTGGCAAAAACCTTAAGGTACAAAAACTTAATCAAAAGGCAAAAATGTAAAATTTTTCACTTTAGGGACTAAAAGTGTCAAATTCAGCAAACTTTTGTGTTGTGGATCAGAGTGCTTTTAGGTGCGGTTTGGATCCAAGACCTTCCCGACTAGCCTCACGGATTAGAGTGGTCCGATTGGGCCACTGACCTCTCCTGTTGGACATTTTTGAGCATTAGCTTTTTATTGTACTTTCGACCCAGATTTTAACCATGATAATGACTAAATTAGTGAAAACGCAAAACAAAAAAGTTGTGGACATTTCTTTATGTTTTCTGGAACATTCTGAATTAAGAGAAATGAAAGATTTGGTGTGATAAAAAAACACTAACGTTGGTAGGTGTCATACCACACTTTTGTAATGCCACGTCATTTTTTGTCTCACCCCACAAAACTGATGGGTGTCATACCACACCCACCTCAATACAAATATTTATGCATGAAGTGCTACATTTGAGAAAGTTTTTTTTTTTTTCATAACTCCATCACCTCATACTTCACTTTTTTTTTGGGCCCGAGAGCCGGTGTTTTGCCACATACAGCATCTTACCGCAGTATACCATAAGATGCACAATGCAGAGTGTATGGTCTAATACATGGTCAATTCGTCCAATATTCATGTATTTCATTGTTTGCATTGTTTCTTGGTTTATCCCTACCATTTAGCTTCACTTTATTGATTTTATGAATCCAACTTAAAATGCAATTATATTTCAAATTTTAAAATAAATAAAAAATAATAGAACCTTTTCATTAAAAGTGAAACAATAATAATAATAATAATAATAATAATAATAATAATAATAATAATCTAACAAATGCAATCGTCAAACATTGAAAAACCATAACATACACAGAACAAGTTAAGAACACAGCATCAAATACAAAATATCTGTTCATACTCACCATCTTGTTACCCTATTGCAAGCTTTCATTTCACTATCTTCAAAAAATTTCTAACATATCTTTACAAAAATCAACGATAGCTACGTCAAAAAGTTGACATCTTTACTTTCTTTCATTTGTAATTATTAAACAAACCACAAGCAAATACCCCTATTAACCAAAAAAACCACACAACCCGTTAAACATTACGCTGTCCCAAAATATTCTTTCACGTAGCGGATTTATCTATCCAAGGACAGTTCCGTAATTTCAAACAAAGTTACAAAAACAAACGATGAAGTAAACAAGAAAATCCTTTTCATTTTCAGCAATGTATCCAATAACAATGTACACCTTTGGAACTCTCACCTGTCCAAACTAACCTCTTTTTAACACCTTTTCGAATTTCATGATTCTCATACAACTTTTATCATCTCGAAATAAAATGAGTAATCATTATAACGGCGGCACTCCGGACATGGTGATTGACATATCAAAGCCGATGAACTTCACCGGAGGTTTAGAGTTCATGAACTTAACGTATACAGTGATGAAGAAGCAGAAGAGTGAAGAAGGTAAATGGGTGAAACAAGAAGCTGATTTATTGAATAAGATTACAGGGTATGCAAGGAAAGGGTGTATCACGGCTGTTATGGGCCCCAGTGGTGCCGGAAAATCTACTCTTTTGGATGGGTTGGCCGGAAGGATTGCTAGTGGGAGTTTGAAAGGGAAGGTGTCGATGGATGGAATGGAAATGAACCCTAGTTTGATTAAGAGGACTTCGGCTTATATCATGCAAGAAGATAGGTTGTTTCCGATGCTTACGGTTTATGAAACGTTGATGTTTGCGGCTGATTTTAGGTTGGGGTCGATTCCGAGAGCGGAAAAGAGGCAACGTGTTGAGGAATTGATCGAGCAACTTGGTTTATCGGTAAGGATCTAATTAAACGAAACGTATTCTTTTGGATGACATAACAATCATTTGATATTTAAAGATAACATGCTCCAGTTACCGGAGTCATATAGGCATATCGTGTTCGAGTAGTTATCTTGAATAATCACTCGAACAAAAGAAAACTCAAATCATCTAAATATTGTATATTGGAGACCAGAGGAAAAATGCTCAAAATGTTCGTGTCATCCGATATTAGAACATAATTTCCAGATGAAATCACTACAATATACTTTTTATGTTCTTTTTTCTGTTTTATTTTCCTTTTTCTAGCTTTCGTTTTCTTCTTTTTTTCAATAATTAGTCGGGTTTTCCGTTTTCTCATCTACCATGATAATTAACAAAAACAAGTATTTGATACAAAAATAATACAAGAGGCCGAAAATAAACGCATTACAAAATGCATGCGTACCATTCTTATCGTACTTAATCAATTAAACACATACATAAAATGTCATTTGGGTGTTTCGGTTCAACTTGGTCTTTTTCCGGTTTTTTTTATATTTAAGAAAAAAAACCAAAACTACAAATTCGGATTTTCTTTTAACCAAAAACCTAACCCTACATTCTCAAAATGGTTCAGTTTTTCGGTTACAAATGTTTGGATTGCGGTTTTTTTGCATCCCCTCTAATATAAGATGAATGAAGCATATTTTTCCAGTAACTTGGTATCAGACCGTATAAGAGGCAAATGTAAACTTACATGTTAAATTGTGTAACTTTTAGACAGCTAGGAACACGTATATCGGAGACGAGGGGAGGCGAGGAGTTTCGGGGGGCGAACGACGTAGGGTTTCGATCGGTGTAGACATTATCCACGGACCATCACTTCTTTTTCTTGACGAGCCCACATCCGGTTTGGACTCGACAAGTGCTCAAAGCGTAGTTGAAAAGGTTCACAACATTGCACGTGCGGGAAGCACCGTGGTTCTAACAATCCACCAACCTTCACACCGAATCCTACTTCTGCTTGACCACCTAATCATACTAGCTCGTGGTCAACTCATGTACCAAGGACCCCCGAAAGACGTGGGGCTCCATTTGGGTCGTTTGGGTCGAAAACTTCCAAAAGGGGAAAACCCGATTGAGTTTTTAATAGATGTGATACAACAATACGATCAATCGGAATATGGAGTGGATGCATTGGCGGAATTTGTGCTTACGGGTATGAAACCTCCACAACTTTCTGATGATGAAATGTCGTTTTCGACAATTCTTCCCTCTCCTACGCCACCGCCTCGCCGGAAAAATAATCAACCGGAGAAACAAAATAGCTCCGGGAAGAGGCTTCATTTACAAACCGTGGGGCGATCCGATCAAGAGAAGGATTTTGATCATAGTGTTAGAAGCCCATGGAATAATTCAAAGTCGTGGAGTCAAAGTGGAATTATGCAAGCGGTTGGACTCACTCCGACACGTCAACGTACTGTTCAAAGAACACCACATCCTGTAAGGTAAACAATTGCGACAATGAGTTTATATACTCTAGTCAGTGTCACACATCAGCTAGACACTGTTCTATCTGTCTTTATATATTCAAGAGTCTTCTTTCTCCCCTTAATGGATCTTTTGGAGAAAAAAAAATCTGACTCCATATAGATCTAATAAACACCAAATTGGGGAAACCCTACATACTTTATAATTTTTACCAATATAGACAATGCTTTTTAAAATTTATCAATAATAACAAAGTATTTACATGTTTTTACCTATAATATGAACGTACTTACATATTTTTATCCATAATAGTAACATACTTATATTTGTTTACACCTTATAGCAATGCATCATACCAATACTTACCAATAATGGCAACATACTTATATATCTTTATCGATAACAACAAAATGTAAAATAAAGCTTGTAACCATTTTACAGACTTCGTGAAATATCTTGCTATTATCGATAAATAAATCTAAGTATATTTACGGATAACAAATATTGTTATTATGTATTAAAAAAGTACATTGTCCATATTGGTAGCGAGAACTTGTCGACATTGACTTTGTGTCCCTTTTTTGCAGTGCGTCACCCGGCTACTACACTTACTCAAGTGATATTGTAGCAGGAACCCCAACTCCACATAGTAGTGACTACACTGTCAACGAAGACGACTACCTCACCCCTACTAGTGGTCCAAATGCTGAAAGATACAATCACCTTGGTCCCAAATTTGCAAACTCTTTCTTTGAAGAAACATGGGTTTTGATTCGTAGAAACTTTATAAACATTAGAAGAACACCCGAGTTGTTTCTATCACGCCTCATGGTGCTAGCCATCATGGGGTTCATGATGGCCACCTTATTCGCTAACCCTCATAAGTCAATGCAAGGAATCACTAACCGCCTAAGTTTCTTCATCTTCACTATCAGCTTATTCTTCTTCTCTTCAAATGATGCTGTCCCTGCTTTCATTCAAGAACGTTTCATATTCGTTCGTGAGACTTCTCATAATGCGTATAGAGCATCTTCCTATACTATTTCTGGTGTAATTACATATCTACCCTTTCTCTTACTACAAGCTGTTGTCTATGCTGGTATCACTTGGTTTGCATTAAAGCTAGAAGGCCCTTTTGTTTACTATTTGGCAATTCTCTATGTTTCTCTTCTTACTACCAACTCATTTGTGGTCTTTGTGAGCTCGGTTGTTCCAAATTATATTCTCGGGTATGCTGCTGTTATTGCTTTCACAGCTTTGTTTTTCTTGTTTTGTGGGTATTTTGTGAACAGTCATGATATTCCGAAGTGTTGGAGATGGATGAATAAGGTGTCTACTATGACGTATCCGTATGAAGGGCTTCTAATGAATGAGTACCAAAGAGAAGAAGTTTTTGGACAAACTCTTATTGGGACAAATGTAACTGGAATTGATATTCTACAATCTTTGCATATTTATCATGAAAGGGATCCGAAGTGGGACAAGATTTATATGATGTTGGGGTGGGCGGTTTTTTATAGGATCTTGTTTTATATCATTTTGCGTTTTGCTTCAAAGAATCAGAGGACATAAGTGGTGAAAGAAAAATGTGAGGCTGAATTAGCTTTTTGAAGTGGTAATAAGAAGAAAGTGTTCAGAAACAGGAAATTTTAGCTTGAATGAACCCTTATTGTTGCAGGTTTTCTTGTATTTAATCTTATGTATACGAATATGTATTACTTGTGAAGTTGATCAGATTTGATGAAGATCTTTGTAAATGAAATGGCATCGATGTACAATTACAAATAAAAATCATTTCAATCTATGCGTTCAAATCGTTGAAAGTTTTCCTATAAATACGACATTTAAATTTTGCACATAATTGTATTTATTATTTATGCGCAAATTTCATAGTAAGATGCAAATACTCCCTCATCTTCAAAAGAAGGATCAAATGGGTTAGTTCTTGTTAGGGTCGAAATGTTGTAATAGTCGAAGTTTGTATTTAGGGTCTTCGAACATTTTTGTAATGTATTTTACTAGGGCATAATATTCGAAGCTTCATGTTTAGTCCTTAGTATATTTTTTGTACGCTTTTCTCTTCTATAAATAGGAGTGGTTACTAGTGTCTTAGTAACGAAGTCTTTACAGAATATTCATTGTACTCTGTAAAATTTGCAAAAGCGTAATAGAGCCAAACAGATCATATTTACATCGGTGTTCAAATCTTTCAATTCTACTTTGAATTTACACTCTAATTCGTTCAATACTTGATTCATTGTCTCATCAATTGGTATCAGAGCAGGAATCATATCTCTGATCTGATTTTCACTTTGTTCAAAAGGTTTTTGAGTCAATTTTTTGATTCAAAAGTTTCCGCACTTTTTGAAAGTGAAAAATTGTTTAGATCTAAGTCTGTGATTCGATTCTGCACTTAATTCATTGAATCGAGTGTTCTAAGAGTGATTGTGATTTGAATCATACAGTTTGTTGTCAAATTCTCAAAGTTTCTTCAAAAAAATTCTTAAGGATCTATTCCGTACAACAATGGCGTCATTCAATCTGAATTCCATGACTTCATTTTCTCATCTTCTAGGATCATCCACCAAAATTCCTATGCTCATCCCTGAGTATTACGATCAGTGGGCTGATCGTATGCAGGATTATCTCAATGGATTGGATGAAGAACTGTGGAATTGCATTTCTGGCAATCTCAATCCACCATCGAATGTTCAACCAATTGGTTCTTCCTCTGGAAACTCTGAAGTTGAAAATCAATCTGATCGTCTGAAAAAGCTGGAGAAAAGGTGTGTAAGAGAGCTAAGAGGAGCTTTGCCTCCAGTTGTTTACAACTACGTGAGGAGTTGTACAACTGCAAAGGAAATCTGGAACAATCTCAAGGAAAAATTTCAGGGAAGTGAGAAGACGAAAGTTAATTCTGTGAAGCAATGTTTAGTGGAGCTGAAGGACTTCAGACAGAAAGATGGTGAAACAATTGAAGTTTATTACGATCGTCTTAATGAATTGATATATCGATGCAATCGATATGGTATCACCAGATCAGCCATGGAATTCAATCTGATATTTGTTATGGGACTTCGAAAGGAATGGCGTAGTGTGAGCATGATGGTGAAGAATCAACAGAGCTTTGATACGTCAACATTGAATGACTTGTACAACCAACTTAAGACTCATGAAAGCGAAGTGAACGAAATAGCTGAAGAATCGAAGGCTATGTTGGGAGGTCCACTAGCTTTGGTTTCGAAGATCTCTGAAAAAGATGCTGAGAAAGATGCTTTGGATGAAGATGAAGGGTTCATCATGAACTCAGATGATGAGGCAGTTGCCTTTTATTCAAACAATCGTGTGAAAAAGTTCTTCAAAAAGCCTTTCAATCCGAAGGCAAAGTCGTCTGAGACAAAAGGGAACTTTCTGAGTAAAAGTGCTGGGGAAGAGAAAAAGAAAGATGAGATGAAAGATTCGAAGCCTGTTGAGGGAAAGTCTGAGAAGAAGCTAAAGGGAGATGCTGGGATTGATTGTCATTATTGCAATGGTGCTAATCACCTTGCTAATGACTGTATGCTTCGAAAGAAGGATGAGAGAAAGAATAAGATCAAGGATGAGGCGTACTATGCTGAAAAGTTGGAGGAGGTTCGTGCGAAAGCCAAGAATTTGTCTCTGGTTGCAAAAGGTGCGAATGAGGATGAAGATGGTACTTATCAAATCTGGTCATCTGGATCAGATGATGAGGAAATGCGAAATCCAACCCATGGAGCTATGTTTGCAAAAATGGAGGAAGAATCAGAGGAGGAAACATACGAAGTGCATGGAAGATGCTTCGTATCAAAAGCTGCTGACAAATCACCAATGACCACAAAGGTACGAAACATTCTTGAATCTTTTAATATTCCAGTACATGCTTATAATTCTGAATTAGTATCTTTTGATGAAACTGTTACTTATTTTGATTCGATTGTGGTATCTGCTAGCAATGAGGCTAAGAACCTGTCAATGCAATTGCTAGAGACACAGAAGAAATTAGATTCGAAAATCACTAAGATAGATTGTCTAGAACTTCAAATAACGAATATCATGGTTGATAGGGACAATTTATCTAGTGATAATAAACTGTTGTTAGCACAAAGAAACATTTACTGTAATGCTGCTAAAAGATTATATGGGAAAATAACTGAACTTCATCATTCATGCGAAATCAGTAAAGAACAACATAGAAAATTGCTGCCATTTTTAGCTTATGAAAGAGCTAAGGTAGATAACATTTCGTATGACTGTGAAAAAGAAATAGCTGATTTTGACAAAGTTCCGAATGACAAGTATAGATATGGAATTGTCAAAGTTGATGAATGTCTTGATTCGAATGATTTAGTTAACATTGTAAATGATACTTTGACTAAATCTGAACAAATTCACATTTTGAAAAAGACTGAGAATTCATCATCTGATTCTCAATCTAATTTTGCTGATATTGAAGATAATTCTGACAATATTAGTGAAATTAGTGAGCTTGAAGATGTTGATTGTTCTCAGTTGTCTATTGTTAATGTTGCTTCGAATTCTAAAGGGAAAGAAAAAGTTAAGGATTTGATAGTTGAGAAAGAAACTGATATTCCCTCAACTTCGAAAGTTAGTGAAATGAACTTCGTGGATCTCAAAGATTACCAAACTGATGATAGTGATGATGAAGATGTAGAGAAAGTTTCGAAAGAAAAGAAATCTTCAAAGAAAGAAGTAATTCCACGAATAGTTGTTGACCAAGTGTATGGTGATACACAAAAGTTCGAAAAAGTGATGAATGAAAAAGGTGAACATTATCTTGAAAAAACACGGTGGTTTTTCCAAATTTTAAATGCACAGATGATGTCATTTTTCCAAATCAAGTTTTCGTAACTACCGGAAATGTTGAGAATATCAAACCAGAGTTCAAGAAGATGGTTGAGGAGGATAATTCAAAAACAACTGAGGAAGGTTTTTTCGCAAATCAAAACACAGTTGAAAACAACTTAACAAAGAATTCATATATTTTTCAACGACAAAAACCACAAAAACAATGGGTTGAAAAATCAAAAGTTGAAAAAGAGAAAGTAATTCGTGTTGAAAAGGAAAATGAAAAAGTTGTCAAATTAAACTCTAAGAATTTAAAGATCAAATTGACAAATTTTCAAAGGAAAACAACATTTCAAAAAGACAAGCACGAAAGAAAATATTTTGGCAAAATATTGAGTCTCAAAAGATGTCTGAATCACAATCCATCAAAAAGGTTTTCAACGTTAAAAATGATTCTTTTTCAAAAACTCAACAATCATCTCAATCAAATCAAACAAGGTCTGAAGTACATAAGCAAACAAAGTTTTCGAAAGTTTCTGAAACTAACAAAACAAGAGATTTTTCAGAAAGATCCAATTCAAATCAAAAAGTTTTTCAACGTCAACATTTTAAATCAAAAATTGATACATCCTATGCTTACTCTTATGTTACCAAACCCAAAGTTGATTTTGTACCTCAAAAGCCAAATTTTCCTAATTACACAAAGAAAGAAACTATGAGGACGTCACGGGAAAAAGGAATGACTTCAAGGAAGAACATTGATCATTGGCTTGACGGAAGAGGAAAAATGTATCAGTCAAATAAATATTCAAAAGAGCAAATTCATGAAGCATACGAAAAGTATGTCAATACTTCTTCGAATGGCAGCTCATCATCTAAGGATTCGAATATCTCAGTCAAAACATGGAGACCTGTCACAAAAGCGAAGACTGTTCAATCACAAACTCAAGATGCGAAGGGAAAAGTCAGTGAACATTCGAAACTATCAAACACTTATGTTTCAGTTCCTTTAGATGATGAAGTGAACTTAATTGATAGTCTCAAAACCAAAGTTTGTGATTGGGTTAAAAGTTCTTCATTTCATTCGAAATTGAAATCTAATTTCCAAGGACCCAAAAAGCCTTGGGTACTTAAAATTTTTCATTGATTGCAGGTATTGTGTGACGAGCAATATGATAACAAATGGTACATTGATAGTGGTTGCTCTCGTCACATGACTGGAAAGAAGGAGAATTTAAGAGATTTTCGAAGTCTCAAAAATGCTGGAGTAGTAAAGTTTGGGAACAATCAAAAGTGTCAAGTCATGGGATATGGAAAAATCACAAATGGACAATTCACAGTGAATCGTGTTGCATATGTTGAAGGTCTTCAACATAACTTGATTAGTGTTTCTCAACTTGTTGTGGGCACTGGCAATCAAGTTCTTTTCAACGAAGAAGGAAGTGTTATTTCGAATGTTAACACAAACGAAATATTACTGAAATCTAAAAGGAAAGGTGACATGTTCACTTTGGACATCAATCCAATTGTAGGCAAACCAGCAGTATGTCTTCTTTCGAAAGCTACATCTGATTTAAGCTGGTTATGGCATCGAAGACTTTCACATCTCAACTTTCGAAACATAAATAAACTTGTGGTACAAGATCTGGTAAGAGGTTTACCTGTACTTAAATTTGACAATGATTCTTTATGTGCAGCTTGTGAAGTTGGCAAGCAACATAAACAAGGTCATCCAATCACAATTGATT